GGACAAGAAGACGGAGAAGCGGGCCCTTAGTTGAGTGTTCGACACTCACGAGGGAAGGCAAAAGTGGGAAAAAGATGGAAAGTTTCCGCCCCGCTCACCTTATATGAGTTCTGCGAGCGGGGTTTGAATGCAACCGCCTGCGGGATCATGCCCTGGCGGGCTGCGCAAAGCTTAAAACTCTATAATGTCGTAGCGGCCTTATATTGCAGACATTCTCCGCGGAACGAACAGAAATAAGACTTGCCGGAAAAGGAAATTTTGAATATGTGATTGTCAACCAATCCGTTACCAATCGCCGTATTTATGCTAAGAAAGGCAATACAGGCATTGTGCCATCGATTGGAGACAACTGCGGAGGTACCACGAACGAAAATCCTTTACGTACATACGTTCAGGGCATATTCAACCGTGTGAACTTCTCTGATGGAAATCTATATTGGTGGGAAACTCATGAATGGTGGGTAGCCGGGCCTCGCTGGCCGCCTCCCGCTGATGCGCTCAGAACAGGGCGGGTTAGCACCAGAAATACCCCGAAAATTCTTAGAAAATCTGAATTTATTGGACCTAAGGGAAGCTTGACGCTGACTGAGGGCAGTCAGTATTTCAGAAAGGGGGAGATGATAAGGCGTGCACAAAGCACGCATGAAAATGCTATTTTTCATTCATTTCATTGACTTACCATTCTCATAAAGTGAGGCTTAGTATCAGAATGTACATTCTCCTCGGAATGGTACATTAGACCTTTGAAGGCCGAAAGCCATCGGGACAACACGACATAGTAACTAAGAAGGGTCCTTAACGGGGTCCGACTCAGGATATTATGCATACCGTTGGGCGCCGGGAGCCAGTTGACAGCCGGCTTCTTGTGTGCTGGAGGTTAAACAAGAGGAACTACCTTGAGTGTTTGAGTTGGTTATCAGGCCGGCTCGACCCATTAGGGATCCACGGAACGAAACGGGACAGAGATTAGATTACGAGTACAGCCAGCCCGGCTGGACACGTTAGAGAAACCGAGACTGATTAGAGATGATGTTATAGGGATGACTTACCAGGCGGCTAGCCTCCGGGCCCGGATAACACGGTTGAGACCCAGCCCGCCTGGCAGTTGAACCTGCTATAAAGGATAAGAGTAAGGGATTCAGGCCAGGCGGCCTCATCCCGCTACCTTCCTACAACAGAATACCAGCAAAGCACGGTCCATAGGTCCTGTGCAACTGGATAGGTACGGGGCGGCCTGATTCTTGGGCGGTTTTGAGAGCAGTCCTGAGTCAGGCGGCCTGACCAAAGGGCGCACGCCATCTTGATGAGAATGATACCAGCAGGCGGCCAGACCCGTTGCCATGCACACTATACCCACGATAGACGAATAACTCAACCACCATTGGTTGCAGGCGGCCTGCCAAGCCTGGCGGCCTCGGTGGATTCAGAGCTCCGGTTTCACATTTATCTCCGTTTGTAATCCAAAGTTGTATAAAAGCAGTAGAATTACGCTTGTAACAGTAGTAGACTTTCCCCCCCCCTTAGCGGGTTACGAAGTAGACTGGAATTGATATTGATTTGACTTGATATTTTGATTTTGGGTTGCCCGTAATAAGAACTTAAGCCTCTCGTCGAGTACCCCTCCGAGTCGCCATCTTGAAGTGAATCCCAGAATCCGACTTCGTTGAGTACCCCTCCGAGTCCCACTAAGCCCTACAATCAGTCCCCTGTTGAGTACCCCTCCAGGCTAGACCTTGTTTAAGTGCCGTGTCCTTCGTTGAGTACCCCTCCGAAGAAGAAAGCTAGTCCCAATCTCCAGTTGAATTGATTAACTTAGTGCCTATCCGGCCTGAGTATTGAAGTCCCCAAAAGTGCATTTCCGTTGAAAGTGGTCATCCCGCCTCAGCTATTGCCTGTGAAACAAACCCTTGATTTGAAGTACTCCATTATCTTGAAGGGCGATACGCCTGCCCTACCTCCCCGAACACAAACACGAGACATTTGGTATTGAGTTGTTGAGATTTGATTAGTGTTTTTGAGTTGTTTAGTGTTGGTTGAGTTCGCTCGCTTTCACTCGCTCTTTAGCATAGTTTTCGATTTCACGGCTGCACCCGAGTGCACCGTTTCATCGGCTCTCAGGGAGCGAGTCGAAGGACTCCCGGTTGAAGACGGCCTCGAAATCACGCACCCAGTCCGGAAGTTCCGAACCGGCCGGAGCGGAGTTTTTGGCATACACCTCGGCCAGTCGTTGCAAAACGGTGCTGGTCGCGCGGATATCCTCCGGAGGCGAGAACCGGGTGTATAGGATCCGGTCACCGTCCTCGAGCGGATCGTCCTCGTCATCGGAATCGTCGGAATCATCCGGAGAGAGTTCCGGCAACTCCTCATCGAAGTCGAAGTCGTCGTCGTCCTCGCCGCTCCGGTCATCCACGTCGATAGCGCAGATGTCCACGCTGGGCTGGGACCGGATGGACCGGAGGATCTGGGCGACGGCCTTCGCATGTTGGTGTTGGGCCCGGGCTTCGTCCGTGCAGGTGTTGCAACCGGACAGGCATCGGCTCATCTTGACCTCCTGGGTGTCCCAGTTGATCTCCGGGTTGTGCTTCCAGAGCCAGGAGTACCCAAGGATGAGCTTCTGCTTACCTAAGCGCGTGACGGCGAGTTGCACGCGCTCGGTGTGGCCCTTATAGTGTAATACCACGTCCGCGACGGCCCGGATGGAGCCAGCCTCGTTCGGGGTACCGTCGATGTTGAAGACAGGGATTGGCTGCGAAAGCTGCCGGATCGGAAAGGAGGTGGACCGGACGTACTCGGAGTCGATGAACTCGGAGGTGGCTCCGCAGTTGACAAGGCCTTTGAGCGAGAGCTTGGCGGCGTTGTCGGCAGACTCAATCTCCAGAGGGAGGTGGAGGGAGTTGGCGCTCGGAGCGGTGGCAATTGTATACCGTTTCGGAAGCTTGCGTTCCCAAGACGGCCTACGAGGCGGCCGGGTTTTCGGGAGGACCGGAGCGGCCGGAATACCGCTCGGATCAGGGGGTGCGTCTATTGTTTCGGGGGATGCAAGAGATATATTGTCAGACTCGTTACATAGAACAGCGAAACAATTAGGGGACGAACGAGGGCGCACCACTCACTCGTCACGGAGGGGAAAATCCTCCGGTTCCGAAATGACCGGACGGTCTGCGACAGCCTGCGCGGACGCTACCTTCGCGAGGAGCTCCTCCAGCATCTTGCCTCCCAGCTGCCGGATCACTTCGTCGAGCACGTCAGTCGACCGGATGTCGACCGGAACGGTGCAGTCCTTCGCGAAGTGGTTCGGATCGCCGCAGCAGAAGCAGCCACGATGAGGGGGGGCATTGCGAGCGCGGGTGCGGTCCACGTCCATAGGGACCGGAGGTGGAAGCACCGGCACAGCAGCCCTCGGCTGGGGGGTCGAGACCACGGCAGGGGCGACGGGAATTACCCGGGCACGACCCGTCACGGTCGCATGGAGCATCGGAAGGGCGGCTTCCGAAGCGCGGAGCTTGGCCTCGTACTGCCGGTAGGCACGAAGCCTCCAAGCAGGGTAGTCGCGGATGTGCGGAGGGTCGGAAGATCCGGTTATCGCGGTGTTGATTGCCGGATCGAGACCAGTCCGGTACTTCGTGACCTTGACGAGGGGGTCTTCGAAGCCAGCAAGGTCGACAAGGTCCTCGAAGTCGTCCGTGTACTGGAAGACGTCCTGGGAGCCCATGTGGTACGAGCGTCCCTCGAGCTTGTTCAGCGCATGGTCCTGTTCGTTCTCCTCGACGAACCGGAGCCGGAACTCCCGGAGGAATGCGTCCCAGCTCGTGAGGAGGAACGGGGTCTTGTTGGACTGACACTCGGCCCAACGCTGTGCGGAACGGGTGGCCATAAAAGACATGGCATACAGGACGACCTTCTCCTCGGAGGGTTCCCCGTTCTCCGTAAACACCTCCGGAAGCAACCGGGCGTAGGACTGGACCTGGTGAAGGAAGGCCCGGCCGTTCTTGCAGTCACCATCAAAGACGATCGGGGGGTTCGGCCGGAGGACCGATTTCGCTCCAGGAGCAACTTTTTTAAATAACCCTGGACCCGGGTCCGGAGCTGGGTCGGCAAGGGACGGGGCAGGCGAAGCAGCAGTGGGGTATTGGTTTTGGACAAGTTTTGCAAGCGACGCGATGCTCGCTTCGATCCGGTCCAACCGGGCGGCGGCTTCCGCAGCGGACGCGTCGGACATAGAGGGATCTAAACGAGGGGAGGAGGGGACAAGATTTGGGTTTGGGGAGACCAGAGCACTTTCAGAGTCGTCTGAGTCTGCTAAACCGTAACCCGCAATCTTGGCCGGTTAATCCCTTAAGAGGTTTTCTTCTGCTGTAAGGGCAACCTCAAGGCCCGAGTATACTCAAGAGTCCTGATGAGGGGGATCCGAAGGTAAATATCACAGAGTAGCTACAGATACAAATGGACAGACCTGACGAGGGGGATCCAAAGAGAAGAAAGACTAAGGATCACCCGCGTCAGATCCCGGTATATAAGTAACTACGGGCGGGGGGGCATGTGATAGCAACCGGAGTGATCGGTAGAGGTCCCGGGCGGAATCACAGGCCATGTGGTATCGGGAGGAGCCGGAGCGGGTCGGAACGGGACCGGAAGGTCCGGATGCGGGAGCGGAAGGGCCGGAAACAGGGGTTCCCCTGACAGTACCTTGGTTCAAACAAGGACCTCGGGGTTGAGCATCCATGTGGTTCTCCGACAAGAACCACATCATACACCATACTGCTTTCCTGATACTGTTTTGATGGTGGATAAGTGCTGGAAAATTAGATTGAGAGGTTAGTATACTTAGGAACAGGAACAACCAGGAGGAAAGCAGGAAGTAAGTACCTCAATTGGAATTTGAACAGGAAGTATTGTGGCCTCATGGTAATCATATTTCGAGAGTGAATAAGTACTGTGGAGGATGGTTAGAAATTGAATTTGGCAGTGGGTGAAGAAAAAGAAAGCTTGGATAAATAACATAGCAGTACCTTGGTTTGAACAAGGACCTCAGGGGACGCAGATAAATCCATTTTATGGATACCCTGTGTGCTGTGATACACCATACTGCTTTTGTGATGCTGTTCTGCAGCTTTATAACCGCAACTGTAGAATTTTGATTACTTAAATTCGGAACGAAGGGAACACAGATGACTGGTATACAATTGTGATTTGACAGTGAATAAGTCCTGTTTCTAGGATGCATAACACTTGTAGAAGCTGAATCTGGCAGTGGGTGAAAGAAAAAGAAAAACAGAAAGAAACAAAAAAAAAATGAATGAAACCCCATAAGAGCAGTACCTTGATTCGAACAAGGACCTCGGGGTTACATGTCTGACGGCTTTGTCACAGGAACCCCACATGCAGAATTACACCATACTGCTTTCCTGGAGCTGGCTCGAGAGTGGATACCTGTAGAAGTTGAATCCAGCAGTGGGTGAAAGAGAAGTGAAAGACAAAAAAAAATGAATGAAACCCCATAAGAGCAGTACCTTGGTTGGAACAAGGACCTCAGGGTAATGTATCAACATCGAAGGGATAATGGAAACCCTGCGTGCAGAATTATACCATACTACTTTTGTGGTACTGTGCTGAGTGTGGATAGGTGATAGCCAAATCAAACCCCGAAATAAAAAATAGATGAATAAGAACACTACTGGTGCAAGAGCAGTACCTTGACTCGAACAAGGACCTCGGGGTGATACATGATTATGATAGTCATGGAAAATGAAAACCCCGTGTGCAGCGATAATACACCATACTGCTTTTGAAGTCCTGTTCTGCAGTCTGGTAAGTGTCCCAGTCATCAGACTTTTGACAAATAGGTTGTGAGTTTGTTCAACCCCAAACAACCCCGAACAACCTCAAACAAACCCGCAATCTCACAAGGCCACAAGTTGAGTCGAAAAACAATCTAAGCTCAAAATTTTCATCAAAACTTTTTTTTTCAATGGGTTCCCTGATTCTATTTCTTGTCTTTGATGAGATGATTTTGGCATTTTGAGCTTGCGAGGTTGTCAACAAGCTCTCAACCCGAAACAACCCGCAACCTAATTGTCAAAAGGCTGATGCAGAAATTGAATCAAGGAAACAAAAAGGATGAAGTAAGGCTGATAGAGCAGTACCTTGGTTTGAACAAGGACTTCGGGATGATACGTGGTTGCAATGGAAGAATGAAAATCCCATGTCCATTATTAGACCATACTGCTTTCTTGGTCCTGTTTTGACAGTGGACAAGTGCTGGAGGAATTGAATTTGGTGGCAGTGGGTGAAGAAAGGAAGGATCATCGAGGAGTGGAACAGAGCAGTACCTTGGTTCGAACAAGGATCATGGTTATGTATCCATTTCTCACTCTCAAATGAAACCCTGTGTGCAGAATTACACCATACCGCTTTCATAACCGTATTTTGCAGTCTTGTAAATTCCCCAGAAATTGAATGAAGGAATGAAAGCAATGATACACAAGAAATGAGAGCTGTACCTTGACTCGGACAAGGCCCTCGGGTAACATGCCTAGCAATATGCTATTTGCAGGAACCCCGGGTGCAACATTACACCATACTGCTTTCCCGGTACTGCTTTGCCTTTTGATAAGTAGCATCGAAATTGAATTGAGCAGGGGAAAATGAAAAAGACTGTGGTTTTCTACGTAGAGTAATACCTTGATTCAAACAAGGCCCTCGGGGTTACATGCCTAGCAATATGGTATTTACAGGAACCCCGGATGCAACATTACACCATACTGCTTTTTTGATACTGTTTTGCACTCTAGTAAGTGTCTCGGAGAATGGCAATTGACTGGAAATAACAAAAATCCAAAGGAATTTACAAACAGCAGCACCTTGACTCGAGGACCTCAGGGCAATGCTGCATGATTTTATCAAACGAAAACCCCGTATGCAGTGATACACCATACTGCCTTCCATGATCCTCTTTTGCAGTCTAGCAAGTGGAACAGAATTGAAACTAAGGAAACAAAAGGCGAACGAAACACATACAGCAGTACCTTGACTCGAACAAGGACCTTAGGGTAATACATCGAGATGGTGGTATAATGAAGACCCCGTGTGCAGCGATAATACACCATACTGCTTTGCTGGATCTGTTTTGTGGTCTAGTAAGCAGGACAGAAATAGAATCAAGGAAATAAAAAGAACGCAAGATTCGAGCGAAGAGCAGTGCCTTGGTTCGAACAAGGACCTCAGGGTTATGATCTTACTCACATGAGCCAATGAAACCCTGTGTGCATCAATACACCATACTGATTTTGTGGTACTGTGCTGAGTGTGGATAGGTGATAGCTAAATCAAACCCCGAAATAAAAATAGATGAATAAGAACACTACTGGTGCAATAGCAGTACCTTGATTTGAACAAGGACCTCGGGGTGATGTCCGTGCTGGCATATTACAGGAGCCCCATGTGCAACATTACACCATGCTGCTTTCCCGGTACTGCTTTGAGGATGGATAAGTGCTGGAGAAATCAAGTTCGGCAGTGGGTGAAAAGAAAAAGAGGAGGAACACTGGACCAGGGCAGTATCTTGGTTCAAACAAGGCCCTCGGGGTGATTATCTACATCTTTGCTGGTCAACGAAACCCTGTGTGCAGATTTACACCATACTGCTTTTGTGGTACTGTGCTGAGTTGTGAATAGGTGATAGCAAAATCAAACTCCAAAATAAAAATAGATGAATAACACCAGTGGTGCAAGAGCAGGACCTCGGGATGATATACAATGGACTCGCACGATTCAACCCCATGTGCATAATTACACCATACTGCCTTTCATGATCCTCTTCTGCAGTCTAGCACTCAAGTGGCACAAGGAAACAAAAACAACTTGACCGAATATGAATAGCAGTACCTTGGTTCGAACAAGGACCTCAGGGTGATCCCAAAGAGGAAACTGTCATATGGAAACTCTGTGTGCAGCATTACACTATACTGCTTCCTCGGTGCTGTTTTGCAGTCTAGTAAGTCCTAGAGAAATTGAATCAAGGAAATAAAAAGAACGCAAGATTCGAGCGAAGAGCAGTACCTTGGTTCGAACAAGGGCCTCAGGTTAATGTATCAACGTTGAAGGGCTAATGAAAACCCTGTGTGCAGCAATACACCATACTGCTATCTTGGATCTGTTTTGAAGGCTCGTAAGTGGCACAGAAATTGAATCAACTAGAAACAAAGAATCGTGGAAACTATGTGAGAGCAGTACGTTGGTTCGAATAAGGACCTCGGGGTGATACACGCTAGTCATGGAAGAATGAAAATCCCATGTCCATTATTGGACCATACTGCTTCCCAGGTCCTCTTCTAGGCTGGATAAGTGTTGTTGTAGAAATCAAATCAAGGAGTGAAGCCAACAAAGAACACCGCTATAATAATAAGATGACCTTGCAGTGCTTAAACATATTTTACTTTGAGAGGGAATAAGTGCTATTGAGATGGGTGAGACTTGTAGGAATAGGAGTTATAATTCCATCTGGCACCTCTGAAAAGCAAAAAAGAAAAGAAAAGAAAAAGCAAAGAAAGGTGCAAAAAACAGCAGTACCTTGGTTCGAACAAGGACCTCAGGGTAATATATCGAGATGGTAGTATAATGAAGACCCTGCGTGCAGCATTACACCATACTGCTTTCCTGATAATGTTTCACAGTCTAGTAAGTGGCACAGAAATTGAATCAAGGAAACAAAAAGGATGAAGTAAGGCTGATAGAGCAGTACCTTGGTTGGAACAAGGACCTCAGGGTAATGCATCAACATCGAAAGGATAATGAAGACCCTGTGTGCAGCGATACACCATACTGCTTTTGTCGTATCGTTTCGTGGTTGAGTAAGTCCGAGAAAAAGATGAATCCGTCTGTGGGGGAAAGAAGAAAAAAAAACAGAAAGAAAGAAAGAAAAATGAATGAATGAAATAAATCCCTTAAGAGCAGTACCTTTGTTCGAACAAGGACCTCGGGGTGATGTTGAAACACCTAATCCAGATATGAAGACCCCATTGTGCAGCATTACACCATACTGCTTTGCTGGTACTGTTTTGAAGTCTCGTAAGTGCCAGCATAGGATTGAAACCCTGTAACTAATTCAATCAAAAATTGGTTTGGACAGAAACACGGGAGAGCAGTACCTTGGTTCGAACAAGGACCTCGGGGTTACATGCCTAGCGATTTGCTATGTACTATTTACAGGAACCCCGCATGCAGACTTACACCATACTGCTTCGCTGTACCATTTTGAGGAGGACGAGAGTTGATATTCGGGGGAGGATAAGTACGTATACTTGTGAGATGGAGGCGAACAGCGAGTCGAATTAATTGCATCCCTCACCGCTGCGCACAAGCCCCAAGCAATCCCGACTCAAAATTCCGACGACGCCGAAACCCTGCCAAGCCCGTCGGGCGCCCTTGTCCGTGTCATCAGCATGGCATGTGTGTCAGTCAAGAGCGAGTCAGATGCGGTTACCTCAGGAGTACATGTATGTACTAGTTTTACGCTAGTACATGCTGTTCGCGTCCTGCAGTGCAGCTCGCCTCGTACTCTTCCTCTTCCTCTTCCTCTCCCATCTCCCACACCCTCTCTCTGCGCCGCCACCCGCCGCGAATCCACATCGTGACGGAAACAGGTTACAGAAAGGAAGAAGCCGGAGGTCTCCCTAACGACAACGTCAGCCGACCTCCAACAAATCCATCAGAACTGATTCGACAAGAACTGATTCGACAACAACGACAACAAATCACATCACGTGTCCCCCTTCTTCAGGCTCTTCCTTCCCCTCTTCGTCGCCCACCGTCGCTCCCGACGCCCACGCTCGTTCGCGTTCCGCAAAATACCCCACGTCTGAACATAGACGGAAGGATTGTATTCAAGAGAAGAAGAAAAGGTGAGTTAGAGTTGGGGAAGGGGAAGGGGAAGGGCCCCTTTTTTCTCGCTCTTTTGACTCTTGCTCTGGAGGAGGATCAGAGGGGCGAGGAGGGGGAGAACAGAGACGAGATACTGATGCAAATTGAAGCAGATTTTGAGAAGAAAAGGACTATTTGAATCGACTATCACGCCATGGGATTCGAGCACTTCAAGATCAGCAAGGCGGGTGCGCCCTTCCGGCATGCACCCAAGCCCAACGCCGGCGTCAAGTCGGTAAAGCGGGATGAGGGGACGAGCGATGCTAGTGCGTTTTGCCTTCTTTCCTACTCCTTATTTTTTTTCTGTCGGGAATGTACTCGTTACATCAGCGAGCACCAAGTTGCTGGCGGGCATGTGCTCGTTCCTCGACAGGAGGGAGAGTTCCTTGCTGAGGTCTGCGCGCAGCATTTCCGCGCTGGCGGGATGTGGTTGGTCGTTTCGCGACAAGGCGAGGCGAGGCGAGCGTGTGTCGTTCCGCGACGAGGCACAGCGCCGTCCGCGAGCCAGTGTCTTCCGCCTTGGCCAAGCTAGTACAGACTCATAGCTGGCCATGGGGAGATGTTCCGTGACGAGGCCGCCTCGGTGCTGGGGTCGACGGGCGGGATGTGCTGTTCCTGGACGAGGTGGACGTGTGTCGCATGCTCGTGCAAACAATCGCGGGGATGTGCTCCTCCGTCCTCCTCCTTTTCCCACTCGTATTTTGTTATCCTTCAATTCTAACTTATGTATATGTGTATAACTAATGCTTACTTCAAACACTTCTAGGCTGCGCAACCGGCGCCTTCTACGCCTCCCCCGCCCTCGGCACCTCCGTCTCCTTCTCTCCTCCCTCTGACTCCTCCACCTCCACGCCCCTAAGCATAACCTGGCGCCCCTCCCTCTCCTGCCTCCTCCCCACCCCCTCCCTCGTCGACATCTACCTCTACGCCCCGGGCCTCGCCCAGCCGCGCCTGCACTGGTGGGAGGGCGTCCCCTACTCTACCGGCAACTACTCGGTGGATGTGAAGCCGAGCTGGTGGGGGAGTGTGGAGAGCGTTAGCTTGCAGGTGATGGTTGTTCCTGGGGGGACGCCGCCGTTCCTTAGTACCATCCCTGCTGGGCCGGTGTTCACCGCTACCTACACCTCTACCTCCGCAAATTCTACCTCCGGCGCCGCCGCCTCTACCCCAAACGCCAACACGGGCGCAGACGACGGCCACACGATCATCACCCCCTCCTCCTCCACCTCCCTGAACAACTCGTCCTCGCTCAACAGCCACAAGCTCTCCCCGGGCAAGACTGCCGCGGCCGTTCTGCTGCCGTTGTTGACGGTTATACTGTTGGGGGCGGTGTATTTGAAGTGGCAGAGGGCGAAGGGACAGAAGAAGAGGGGGGAGTGGAGCGAGAAGCTGGATAAGAGGATGAGTCGGATTAGTGGGGAGTGGAGGAGTATCACCGCGGGTGGCGCACGCGAAGGCGTACGCGCGTCCATCGCTGTATCGCGTTCCTCTAACGCCGGTGACGGCCGCAACAACACGGCCAGCGTGTACAGCGTCGGTGCCATCCAACCCGGCGCGGTGGAGGGAGAACCCGTGGTGATGGGCGAGAAGACGCGTGGGGGCAGCATCGAGATACAGGAGAAGGATTTGCCGCGGACGAGTCTTGGGAGTGGGGTTGGTGTGGGGGTCGGGGCGCGGAGGCCTAGGTATGTCGTCTTTTCGACCACTCTCTATTCTACTTTCCTTTCCTTGATTCCGGGTTTGCTTTTTTTTTTGGCGCCGTTTTTCGCGTCTTTCGCTTTGCGTTTTTCGCGTCTTTCGTCGCTCGTCTTTCCTTTTCTTGCATACGTCGTTTTTTTGTCGGCTGGGTTTTTTTGTCTTTCTCCTCTTGTGGTTTTTCGTTTTCGTTTTCGTCATTTTTTTCATTTTTTTCCCCTCTGGCATCTTTCTTTCTTTCCGTCGTGGCTCGAGAGTGCTATTGTGCTCCCTCTCATTTGTGCCTCTTTTCTTTTACTACCTCCCCTCTTTTTTTATGTATTTTTTTTTTTTGGCGTGACGTTTCGTATTTCGGTTCCCCTGTTTCGATTTCGCGCATTTCGCATTTCGTTTCCCCGGTTCCGCTGGCACTGCTGGCATGTGTCGTTTGTCGCCCGATTGATACATATGTACCTCACCCTACTTTCTTTCGTCTTGCCATTCCTATCGATCGTCTTCCTACGTATTCTCGTGGCTCGTTTATCCATCCCTCCCCTTATTCTTCCTCCCTCCTCGCTTCTTCTTATACTTCCCGACTGATAACAGACGCTGACATCGCTAACAGGAACCTCACCAACAACACCCCCGACCGCGCCTCGCGCGCCGTCTCCTTCGCCGACACCGCGCACCCGCGCCCCAGCCTCACCGCCTCCGTATACTCGCGTCAAAGCCGCGCCTTCCACACTTCCTCCACTTACTTCGGCGAGGAGGGAGAAGATGCTGCTCCGCCCGTACCCGCCCTTCCGTCGCCTTCCCGCGTTTCCGCTTATGGCCAAGGGCGGGAGAGTGCGTATGGCGGAGGAGGGGGGAGAGAGAGCGCGTATACGAGGGGGAGCGTGTATACGACTAATTCGGCTGGGCATGGGTCGTACAACAGCGGCAACGGGTCTTATAACAACGGCACCGCGGGTAGTGGTGAGGGTCACAACGCGCAAGGGGGTGAAGGTGGGAACGCACTGTACCAGCACGCGAACGTGTCGGCGTGGAGCAGCGGGGAGCGGGTGGAGGGGGTTGATGGGGGGTATGGGGCTGCGGCGGTTAGTCCGACGGGGAGGGTGCATCATGTTGTTAACTACCCTGCGACTTACGGTACGTTCTACTCTCTTTCGCTCATATGCGGGGGTTTTGCCTGCTCGCGTACTGTGCACGACGCTGACGCTGACGCGCTTATTTTTTTGTGTAGGAGGAAGCCCGACGAGCCCTGCGCCGACGTATACTACGAACGTGTTTGACGCCAGCGCCGCGTATGACACTAATGGGAGCTACGAGGCGTACCCCGGGTATAGCAATAACGGTGCGTGCGCCTTTTCTTCTCTTCTCTTGTTCAGCACGGGACGGGACGGGGCTTTCGCTCTTATCCTGCACGGGGCTTCTGCTCTTATCCTGGTATGGCAAACGATTCTGACTCATCTTCGTATGGCGCAGGCAACGGCACCAACGCGAGCTACTTCAGCCCCACGACGCCCACGCCGACGGGCGCGTTTGATAGTGCGTATGCGGAGACGACGTATGCGTCGCCTGTGGAGGGTGAGGGCAGGCAGGACATGACGAGCCCGAGGCAGACTGCTGGGCCGGTTAGTGATGTTTTTTATTTTATTTTTCCGCATTCATCTCCGTCCATCCTTCTTTGTGTCCTTCTATCTGCTACTGTTCCCCGCGTCGTCGTACTTGTCCTCCCCCGCCTTCCTTCCCTTCGTACCCCTCCTCCCTACTGTGTCGGCGTCCCCTTTCGAGCTTCATCTTCCCCCGATTCTACTGCTTCGTTGTTCCTCCCTTTTTTTATCTCATTCTATCCCGGACGCGGTCGCGCTACACGTACCCTCCCCTCCTGCCCTCCCTCCTTCGTCCACCGACTCCTCCTTCTCCTGCGTCTATCGGCGTCGTCGAGCTTCACACCGCCTACTTATCCTCCTCCCCCTACATCTTCCCCCTCTCATCCCGCCTCCTCTCATCCCGCCTCCTCTCCTCCCCGTCTCCGCTCCTTTCTCTTCTTTTGCCGTTGGCGACTTTCGAGCGGCGGGCGTTGTCATTGTTGGCGGTCACGTCGTGACACTCCGTGACATCATCACACTTACCGGCGAAGACAACGCAGCGCTGAGGATGGGGATGACATCCGTTGGCTGTGAGCGGGGCGGGGACGATGAGTATCTGCTTTTCGTCCTCGTCCATTTCCCTGTCTGCGTGTCTGTCCCCTCCATGCCCACGCACTTGTCCTTTTTTTTCCTTGCCATCTCGTATCCCTTTCCATTTTGTCGTTTTGCCGTTTCTCGCCGCCCTGCTTCCTCCTCCCTTCCTCCTCTCCCTTTTCTTCCCCTCTTCTCTTCTCTCATCTTCCTTCTCCGTCTCGATAACCGCATACTGACTCTCTTCCTTTCATCCCCAGCTCACCCTCACCCCCGAGGACATCCGCCGCCGCATGACGCTGCGCACGCCCTCTAACGGTTCCTCCGGCAACGGCGGCAACGGCACAGGCCAGCAGGGCGAGTGGCGCCAGAGCGTGAATGAGGTGTTTGGTGCGCTGAGTAGTGAGTTTTGTTTGTCTATATCCGTGTTTCTTTTGTCTGCATTCACCGTTAACCTCCTCCCA